TGTTAACTTCTTATATTGTATTAAGACCACTAACTTCCACGGCATCTTCCGAAAAATTGATCTTGTCTGTCAAATGTATATATTTTGTCCTCTCACGAACAACTTCCTCGTGAAGACTCCCGCCCCATTATTGTCCCGCATGAGTATATTCAACTTACTGAAAACCCCTTTTGAGAGAACTTTCATCACACCAATTTTAATCACAAGCCGTATAACCTGATACTGAATACTAACTACGACTTTTCCGCCACTGCTGAAAAGTTAACATCATCGATGCACTGGATCTCTTTTGGCTACTTTTACGTACTCAAAGTGTCATTCAAATGCTCGCAAAACTCTAATTCAGTTAACCACAATTAAAACTAACTTTTCTAACTGTTTTTTTTTGTAAATCGACCCTTGGATCCTGTATGCGTTTATATTTCTCACTAATTAATTGTTAATGTTTTTGTAACAATTTAGACGTGTGTTTCACTGTTTCACCAGTAGTTTCTCTGAAAACAATATGAAATCCAAATAAAAATGAAAACTTTGTACTACTTTGCAAATATTTTAAATCAAAATTGCTAACTGTTTGTTGTGAAATTATCGAAATGCAGTAAAAATTATGAGCAGTATTTAGGTAATATAGCTACGCCGTAAATTCCCTATACGAAGTTTTGAATTAATAGTGAGTGAGAATTTAAGATGAAAATAAACATTTTTCATGCAAGCTGTATTTTGTAATTTTCAAATTTGCTGATTGACTTTTTTTTCACTTACTCTTTCCAAGCAATTCAAATTAATTCACCACAATAGTGCTCGAATTGAAATTTTACTTTTGCAAACTAACTGACAACTATTTAAACTAGCTTTCACACGCTTCAAATTTTCCCTTACATCGGTTGGATGAAGGATTTAAAGCTAAGCTTAAATAACCAGTGCAGCCTACTAACACCACTATACCAACCACATGTACAGGAAAGTCTCACGGTACTCAAACTAGATTAAACCCCGGCTAAATAAGATAAAATATTCTTTTAAAAACGAAATCAAAATATAGTAAGACCACATAAAACGCTATTAACCTCAGAGGCAACACAAATTAAGAAAATCCGCTTTTGAAAAAAGTCACAAGCAAGAAAAAGAAAGAAAAAACATCTCAAAAAAAGAAAAGAAAGATTTTACACAAATAGAGATTCTTCTCGAAGAGACGGCCAAAGTTAGTTCTCCTCTAGTCTCTACCAGCTAGATGCTGAGACCCCGACCGGGACACAGTTTTTTACTATCAGAAACGGTAGTGTGAGGAACTCTTCAAAAATAAACGAACAGATTAGATCCCTTTTGAGAAAACAACCAAAGAAGATCATTACCAAAACTGAAATAGTTTTAAGATGCAGTTGTGTATAATATAAAAAATTTCTTAGAGCAAAGAAACGAATAGCAAAAAGGAGATGAAATTCGACGGCTTTCCAACTCTGGATTGGCAAATCTATAGGTTTTGCTTGCCACAGTCACAACCCTCGCATGATACAAAGCATGGAGCCAATATTACAGCAAAGGTACCCATGGAACAAAAACAATGGCCAAATCGATATTCAAATCAGAAACACGGATCTTAGTCATTTGGGCTTCTTTCAGACAAGTCAAACTCTATCTCGCTTTTCGATAAATAGTTGAGAATGCACGTTGCCTCGCTCAGCCTAACAAATCGACACATCACAATAAAAATTTGCAACCTTAACACGATCCTTCAGCTCACTACAGTGTTCGCAAATCTCTACGGTCATCATGAAAACAATTATCTCACAAGACCGAGCAACTGCTACTCTTCTCTTTTTACTTCTTTTCAAAGAATCTACTCGAAGAAAAAATGAGAATGCAACCCACCCACCCTTCAAACCAAAAATCTAAAATTAAAAACTTCCTAAGCCCCGGATGCCTAAAACTAGTTCAAAACAATTTTCTAACATATCCAATTACCTTCTTGATAATTATCACAGTTAAAAATACTTAGAACTAACACTAATTTAGAAAACATTTCCAGTTGCTCTCCTCTAATATCGCAAGATTACCAGTATATACTAGATCTATTGTGACTTAAAAATATAAAAGTAAGATTATGATCGGTATTAGACTAAAAACTTGCACGAATCTATTCGTCCGAAAATAGGATAGCGTGACGCACAGACGGTGTACCTCATCCGAAGTACCTCATCCGATGTTGTACCTCATCCGAAGGATTCCCGGTATTAAAAATAGTCCCTAAATAATCATAATAAATTATCACCACAATCGCCAGCGTAAAGTTTTAATTATTGCCCATTATAAAAACGTTTTTCAACGTGTCTAAAAACAGTTAGAATGCAATCGGGCTTTTTGAAAACTTGCTTTCAAAATTAGCACTTAAATTTTGAACGCATAAGATTTTTACAATAGAATTTATTTGCTATCCATTAAATTGTCTCAAAACCATTTAAAGTGAAGTTGATTTCGCACGCGAAAAATTATAGAAATGATGCAGGGCTGGATTTTCTGTTGACATTAAACTTCAAAGTTTCTATCATTTTCTAGCTAAAAAGTAGCCCTTTGGTCCTACTTAGACAAGCCTTTTGGTAAAACAAGCCAAAACTTTTCCAATAGCTTCATAATTGATCAGGCTCATCTGTAATATAACATACATTTGAGTGAAAATCTTCTAGAATAGTTTTTCACTGAACTCCCAAAAACACTGATTTTCATCGCCAAAAAACTGATGTCTGCAGTTTTTGAGCGCTGGCATCAACACAACAGCTAACACTTACTCGATCGTTCGGCTTATGTATTTAGGATTAAGCTAAAGGTGCTCGTGCAAATTTCGAAAAATTGAAGGAAAAATTTACCCCTTCTTTTATTCAATTCATTTTTTCTCTTCTGAGTCTTCATTAAAATTATCAGCTTTTCTTACTTTCAAACTCAAAAAACTTGAGTCCATGAAAAGGGGGTGTCCCCCCCCCCCTAAATCCGCCCCTGGTTTCAATTAAATTCTCAATTTTAAAGTTCGGACCGTAAATCAACCAGGAAAGAGGTCTACAATTCTCGAATTTCCAAAGCCTTGAAGGGAAGAAAAAACTTCTATTTTATTGTTGTTCCTTCTTTCCAAGAAAGTGACGGACCATTTATGCCATGGGTACTTTTTGATAAAACCAATTTTGCGAAACTGTTCCCGAGGAACCAAAACGAAAATTAATCCGAACTCTCATCAAATGTTTATTATATTTCACCTCAGATTCACGAACTAGACAAAAGAATAAACGATTTTCTGTTCGGAAACCCTCAACCAGATGTTACCAATTTTTCCGTCCCCGATTCCTCGTTGTGCATAAGAAGTAATGTCTGTGCAAATTTGTTAATCTTTTTCAAACGTCTCTCGAGTTACTCAAAATGATTTTCTCGCTGGTGGAGCTAACCTCAGGTGCAGCGAGGAAGATATCTAGGATTTTCTCAAGAAGGGGCATATTTTTTTCAAAAAAATTCAAAAAATTTATCGACCGTTTTTTAGTTCGACCAAATTAATTTTTCGAGCTCTCGCAGCGCAATAAAAAGACCCTGTTTTGGCAAAGTTTTCTGCGCCAAAGGCAAAACTTTAGGCGTTTTTAGGCGCTTTTTGGAAAATTTTGACCAAATATATTGGCGCAAAAGGCGTCTTTAGGAAATTTTTAGGGTCCGTCACCAAAAGTGGATATTTCAAAATAGTACAAACTGGGACCCTTTGAGTCGGCAGGGGTCCAATGCCTGAGGGGAGAGAAATATAACGTCCCCCGCCTCCCCCCTCTAAATCCGCCCCTGAGTGCATATGTTTTGTCTTGAGCGTTCTTTTTTAAAACTTGCATAGAAGTATTTTATTAGGTTATGCAATTCTATATGAAAAACCATGAGAGAAAAACTGTTAAACACCCATAAAATTTACGTGTTTTATTGTCAGATGGATTAATCCGTCACTATGTTGTGAAACATATGCTTCAATTTGCAAATTTTTTTCAGGAACTGATCCTACCGATCAGTCCATTTGTTGGTCTAAAAGGTCCATTGGGGGTTGCTGTTGGTAAATTTCTGTATCCAACAATAAATATTCTGAATGTTTACTGGAAAGGTTGGCAAGTGAAAGGGCTCATGGATTCAAAGCAGTCAATTGAAAACAACAACAAAATGATTTCGAAAAGTGCCAGTACCGTTAAAATTTTCTTTGTTCGATAGTCTGTACCAAAGGACGAACTAAACAAATAACAGTTAAATTCTTGAGAAAGCCAAGCTCATTGGTTTTTCGTACATCTTCTAGGGAGTAAAATTTGGAACTAAGCCATAAAGGGGCCACTTTTCAATGATTTTCCGTGTATTTTTTATTTGAATCTGGAAAAAACTGGAGTATCTTGACTAAACAATGTTATTGTTATATAAAAAAACTATTTTATAATAATATATACTATGTTTATTGGCAAACTAATATGTTAGTTCCTATAGGTACCGGAGATAACGGTTCCGCAGCTAAAAAGCGTTAAGATTGGTTTAACTTAGTTATTTTTTTTCGGTTTAAAAACAACTTTTTTGGAACCGTCGATATAAGTTTTTGAAAAAATTTTGAAAAACTTGTTTTGGACAAAAAACTGGTTGATTGGCACTGAAATATTTTGCACACCTGGAGTTTTGTTCGTGATTTGGGTGATGTCTGAAGAAAAAATTCTAAATCCTCAAATAAAGTGTGAAACAGAAAAAACCGTTTCAAGACGAAAGCGAAGTTTATTTCATGGCACGAGACGCAGAAAAGCACTCCCTACTACATTGCTTCTTCCCAACCCTTTTAACCCCTTTAAGAGTGAAGCAAGATATAAATAAAATTGATAATTTCAAAAAAAAATTAAACTAAAAACTATACAACTCACGCCCCTTAATTAAAACAAAAAACCGCAAAAAAAATGGATATTCGAAGTTTCATAATTTTTTCGTAGAATCCTGAGCTTTAAAGGAAAAATAAAACGAATAACAGCTAATTTTATTTGACAGAACTAACAAATTCTAAAATTTTGGCGGAAAATTTTCGTTTCGAAGGTTTCTTCATTGCATCTGGTTGAGCTGTCGTTTCGTTTGGCTGAAAGCAAAATTAGATTAACAATTGTAAATAATATTCCCAAAATTTTCCGAGTTCTCAAAAAAACGGCCTGTTTTCATTCTTTTGCCTCCCACTAAAATTTTTGAAGAAAACACCAAAGTGTTTTTTCTGGGAACTCTTGACAAAAACTAAGTTTTTTTAGTGCGACATTTCAAAGTCTAATACCGACGACATCCGACAGCCTGACAGCCTTTAAGCTTTTCACTTATAACGAGGGGCGGATATAGGATTTTCTCGAGGGGGTGGGAGGATTTTCAAAGTTATCGAAAACTTTGTCGACCTTTTTTTAGGTCGACCAAATTGATTTTCAGAGCATTCCCAAAGCACTAAGAAGACCGTTTTTGAAAAAATTTTAAGGCTTTTTTGGAAAAAACTGAACAAAAATCGCGTTTTTTCGGCGCGCGCTCCCCCCTCAAACTTAGTATGTATTGGCGCCAAAGGCGCCGTTAGAAAAATTTAAGGGTTCGTCTCCAAAAATGGATATCTCAAAATAGTGCAAAGGGGGGACCCTCTGGGTCGGCAGAGGGTCGAAACCCTGAAGGGAGGGGAAGAGGCGTCTGCCTTCCCCGCCCCTTCCCCCTAAATCCGTCCCTATTTATAACGGTTGACTTTGCCGTAAATTAGCTCTTACAAGGGCGCCCTTTGGTTGTTGAAGTAGGCCGATTACTGATGAAGTTCTGGGGAAAATGTTTTTGATCTGCGCGCGCATTAATCATTTAAAAATACGCTTTTCTCAAATCACGTTCGGTTAGGAAATCTTCAAAAAAATCTACCATTCAACTTTTAAATTTGAAAGGAATTAAATCATTGAGATTCTTTTTCAGGGCTTCTACCGTAGCAAGAGAGGCTCAATTTTATGAAAACCATTACAAACATTCAGTTGAGTGATTATCAAAAAAATTATCCTTTACAAAAATCTGTAGAAATTTTGCGGCTTCTATTCCCTTTTTCAGGCAAGCTTTGAAAATGAAATTAATTTATACAGGACATCAACATCATTATAATAATCATTGAGAAAAATATCCAACATACAGTTGGAAAAGCAAAAATGGCTCTCTGGTTTTTTTTTTACTTGACTGGAACCAGTTCTAAACTAGAATTTATAATTGGTTATAAATATAATTCTCTAAATCTATAAAATATTCTTAACTAACATTTACACTTATTTGTAAGTGCTGAAACTACTTGTAGTTTCAGCACCAGAGCAATTTGAATCAAACTTAGAATACAGTTGTTCTCCTTCTGGAAACTAACTCGCATAAACCAGTATACACTAGATCTATTGAGACTAGGAGATATAAGAGTAAGATTAAGAAGTTGCACGAATCTATCCGGCCGAAAATAAGATAGCGTGACGAGCAGACGGTGTACTTTATCTGAAATTACTCTATGAGTACAGTAATCCGTACATAACTCATGAAATTTGAGTTTATTTTTTTTGCAACTTAAGTTTTATCGAATATAATCGTATGACTCTTTAATTTTAGGAATATTCTAGGCCTAGCAATTTTTTTTACTACGCAAACCCATTTTCAGAAACCCGGGTATGCAGAACACTGTTTATTCGCTGGAAGCATAGAAAATAAAGTCTGATCACCCGGTGAAAACTGTTATCCTGCAAACTGACATCACTGTTATTGTTTGCAAGTCCCCCATTGGTTAGATTTAGACGAGAACAGCCGAGTTGAATGTTCTCGTGAAACGACAGAGTCCGATTACAGACAGGTTGTGGAATGTAGTTCATATTTCCATATAAGGAAGATGGTGTGCACGACAGGAATGTTCGGCTGTCCGAGAGGAGGCTGGATGACGATCGAGCAATCTGATAGGCTGACGAGTTGATGAGTGCCAAATTGCGATTCACGAGGTGCTGAGTTGCAGTATCTGCAAAAATATGTCAAAAGATTATAAAAGAACATGTCACCCAATTCTCGTAAAATAAAGGCCTTGATACAACATTTAAGCAATCTCGACGCATTTTGCAGCTTCAAATTGTTTAAAATTGTAAAAAAAAAATAAATATATATATCCAACTATCCTTACTTAAAACCATTTTGAAGTGTTGCAATTCTTCATTTGCATCGAACTTAATTAAAATGAGCTCATCTTTGTGGTGAACTCTAGTTTCGAATTTAGAATTCGAAGACTGAACTTCGCAATCACAAGAAAGAGCCTCAAGTTTCAAGGTCAACTCAGGATCTCCTTGCAAAACGTCGCTTAAGTCTGCTTTGTAAACCTGCAGTTCCAATCGGCTAATTGCGACAATTCGGTCAACTGACCCAACACTCGCTCTCGTTAAATAGAGAATGGCGATTCTCTCTACTTTTGATGACGTGTTGATAGCCGAAGATAGATTGTAGTTGGACACTATGATCTGTTTCGAAATGTCCATGAGCCACAAGTCGACTTGTCTTGTATTGCAGAAGCAGTGAAGAAATTTTCTACAAAAGGAAAACAACGAAAGGTTTCAAACGACTGATCATGGACAGTTTGACGTCGTGGAAAAAGGGTTCGAGTATTATCGCAAACTAACTAAGTTTTTGCTTTTTTAAATTTAAATGTACGAAAAACCCTCAGACCAAAAAGTTTTACACTGCTCACAAGTGTTTTTACATAAAAACTTTTTATTATTAATTTTATTATTAATTTTTGATGCGCGGTTTTTTGGTATAGGGTACATCAATTTTGGTATAGGGTATAGGGTTTTGGATCTAAAATCCGTGTCTAAAAACATCTTTAGTATAGGGTACATCAATGATATTACGGCAAGTTTCATTCATGAACTTTTATCTGAACTTATTTTGAAAAAAAAACCAAATCCATTGTTCATTTCAATACCTACATGTGTGTCTGAACAAAAAAAAATTGATACGTTACCTATGTGATTGTTTAGTGCCATATCTCAGCGTGAAGTAATTAGCCCGAATCCGTTTGATGGTTGCCAGGGCCAAACTGACTTTAATGAAGGCAGCTCTTTTGATCCCGTCTGCAGGACAGTAATGATTAACGCCAGAACAATCAAAACTGGAGAACTCTTTTGTAGGTCCAATTGGAATGGCATTGTGAAGCACTGTTTTTATATTTCCACAAGAAGTGATTAAACTTTGACCCAAAATGTCCGGGTCCGAATCGCAGGGCACGAAATCTGCAACTCTTTCTGATAGCTGGCACTGGCTTCCAGAAATTGAATTTGGCGTCATTTGGAAGTGCGTTCTCTCCGTAATGACGTCATAGGCACCAATCAAAGGCGGCAGTTTGTTATGGGCCTCACTTGCAGCGAAGAGCACTGAAACGAGGGGCGCACAAAACTCATCCCTTCCAAAACTCAAGAGTACTCCCCTTTAATCTTAATGAGACAAACTGAAATTTGAACTAGTACCCCCTATTTCTGCGGACCGAACAATGACAGTCATGCAAGAAAACGATCGCAGACAAAATAAATTATTTGAGTTGAGTTGAAAACAAGTATAGTTTCTTTGGAACCATTTCAGTTAAAAATACTTGTCTGGACAGTCGGAACTTGTCTGTAGACTAACTCACAGAAGTATAAGTTATTTTTATACTTTTTCGAAAATAGCGGATTTTCAAAAATTTTCGGAAAAATTTTCACTTTTTCTAGCTCGACCAAGCTTAGTTTCCGACTTCTCTCAAACCACTGGATACCCTATTTTGACCGCGTTTTGTGCGCCATAGCCAAGTTTCTGGAAGAAAAAAACAATCGATAAAAAGGAATTTTTTAGGAACTTTTTTTGAAAAAAATCGAAAAGAAATCGCTTTTTTTCTGCGGAAATCGAATTATGTATATACTGGCGCCTGATAACGTATTTAGTGTTGGTCAGCCTAAACTCTATGTTATAAAAATTTTTCACCTTCGAAGATTGGTGAAAAATTTTCAAAATGACGAAGATTGGTTGAAGAAAAGCGTTTCTTCTCCCTTAAGTTCCCTAAATCACCTATTGGTGGTTCGGTTTGGTTTATTTTCTCCTAACAAAATTTGACAGTTTGACTAATTTTTTTCGCAAAAATTTTCATAACTGAAATAGTTTGATGCCTGTAGCTCAAAACAGAATACCTGAAATTTTTTAAAATTCCATTACGAGGCCAAACTGTGCATTTTGTGAATTGTAAGCTGATTCCGCAACAAGGACGCTCACTTTGTTCTTCTTTTGTTCTTTTATTTCCCTTAATCGTTCCGACATAACGTGCTTAAGGACTTGTCTGTGGAATCCAAAAACATACAGACACAAAATTGTGCTGCTATCCAGTGCACAGTTTGGCCTCCTAATGTCACAAAATTGATTGATTTCAATTACCCGGTTGGCCAAAACTTCTGATCATACAATTTCTATACATGAAAGACTTCTTACCATACAATTTAATACAATTCCATACGTATAGAAAATTGTATAAAATCTCTATGATAAGCATTTTTCCATATATGAAAATTATATGATAATTAATTTTCCATAAACCAAAAAATTGATTTTTTTTCTAAAAACAAATTCTGCAAAATTTTGGGTTGTATTGTTAACCGAACGCAAGTGACAAACACTTTGGTTCACGCAAATACCAAAGGTTGGACTGGTCTTGCATTTATAAAGCATAGAAAACGACCTGAAATGTCTTTCACAAATGATATAACGAAAGTAACAATCTTTTAAATTTTGGCAAATTTTTAACGCTATATATTTTCAAAATTTGAATTTTTAAATTATCCGACATTGATCAAGGCATACATAAACATGCCATAAAAAAGGAACTTTTAGAGTTTTCTTATAAAATTATTATGCGAAAAGGAAAAAAATACCAACATTAGTGTAACCAGGACTACCTTATGCACACAGAAAAATTAAATTTTGCAAGAAAAAAGAATTTTTTTTAGAAAATGTTTGTTTGAGTACAAAGTTCGATTTGCGGTTGAAAAAAAAAACAAAAAAAAAACAAAAAAAATGGGGCAATTTCAAAATTGCTTGGAAAAAGTCGCCATCAAAAAAATGCTATTCAAACAATTTTCTTATATGGGAATTGTATGATGACCGTTCTTTTCAAAAAAAAAAACCTCTGTTTTTTTGTGACCAGACTGTTTTATTAGAATCAAACAGTCGCATAACTTAGTTCATATCTTTTTCAACCATTTTTCGAAATTTTACAAAAATTGTATGACAAGCATTTTTCCATACACTTGATGTGTGGAATTGTATGATAAGCCTTTTCGGTGAATAGAGGTCAACCCGGGTAGCGTGCATCGATGGCGGCAAAATAATCCGGTACTGATATAGAAGACGAAAAAATTTACTTTAAAGAATTCAGAAAATCAGATAGTAATTAAATGTTTCGCAAATTTACAGTTCAGAGTTTCGAAGTTCATAAAATTAGGACTTTAACTCCCCATTGAGACTCAATAATTTAGCAGAAGAAAACTTCTTAAACTTTCCGGCTCTGATATCGTTATGCGGCAAGCTAATTGATCCAAACTTTTCCTTCAACTGATTTCAATTTTGTTTTTTGTGTTTGACATTGAGTGTGATGAACATATAGTAATAAAGCAAAATTTCTTCTTTCTTTTGAAAATTTTATTCATTTTTGAAGCGGAATACACATTTAATGGCAGTCAGAAAGTTCAAATCTTAATACGGAATGTTTTTACAGCAAACTTTCACGTACAGAAAAAGGCGTCCGATGGAATTGAATGACATATCTGAGCCCTTTTAGTAAGAAATTAACAGGTCTATGGCAAACATCCGATGTATCAGTCATCCGCTATGTCAAACATCCAAACTTATATAATAATTATGTAATAAAATAACGTCCAAAATTTAAAAACAAAAATTGTAACAATTATTCGATTTAAATTTAGCCGACTCTCGGTTTAGGGCCGCAGTAGGAGGCCGCGCGTCGCCGCTTCGTGGGTATAACCGGCTGTTATTTTCATATAGATTTCTACCCTCTGTTGGCGAGCTTGCAACACGTTGGTGCGACCGCAGCTATCCCGTTTCATTCGACCACTTCAGCACCTTTTAAACGAACAGTTGAAATCGTATCTTTGCCGCAATGATTGAAAAATGTCGGACGCTTGCACTAGTAAAGCTCTTTTTTTATTGTTTGCATAACTTTTTGATTTCGCGGATGTTTGACATGTCGAACATTTACATGATAGCTAAGATTTGAGTTGCAAGAAAAAATCCTATAAGAAACCAATTGCGGAGAACAAACGCGGTCTGGTTTTTTGTTTTTCAGTCTAGTTTAGAGCGTAGAAGGTTGTGTTTGAATGGTGCCTCTGGGCTAACTTAGGTCAGTAACGAGACAAAAATTGGTTCTATAGGTAAACTAACTTAATATTTATTGTCTCACCTTATAAAACTTTTTAGGTCACAATTGACTAATTTCTGAAGCTATATTCTGCGATTAAAAACGGTTAAACGTTTAAAAAGTACACAGAAACTAAAAGTTGATTTTTTTAGAGTAAAAGTTGATTTTTTCTAGTGAATGTTTTCGAAACAAAAATTGTCATTGGAAGATTTTGTGCTACTTATTAGAGCTTTTCTCTCACGTTCTTCATATTCAAACTTTTTCTGTCATAGTCTTACATCTATAGGCCCTTTCCGTTGTTTAATGTCGTTTTAAGATTTAGTTTTAATCCGATTTAGGTTTTTCGTAATTATTTTTTTTTTATAAAACACGTTGTCAGCTTTTGAGAAAAAAAAGAATTTTCCGTCATTCAGAAGCCTAGATGGTGAAAGAAACATTTTTCTAATCCACGTCACAGTTTAAGTCAGGATGAATTTTTTCAAAGTAGAACGACAAAAAGTATACATCCCATTTAAATTAATATTAATAATTTATTTCCAAATTAACAATTTCAAAGGAACCCCGAAAACTTTAATTCGCAAGGAAATTCCTGTTTTTTAATAAAGTTTTGTGCCTTTCCGATTTCTAAATTTTTCCGATTTCTAATTTTTTGTAGCGCAATCGTTCAAGTGTGCTTCAGGGCTTAACAGCTGCGAATGAAAGCTTATACCAATTCTCAATTTTCTGTCTTTCTGACATCGCCGCTCAGAAAAAGTTTCGGAAACTTTACTAGAATTTTGGAGCTTAAAAGACTCTAATATTATGCATAACTTCCCGCCTATATTACCCAGGAATGAGGTAAGTGTATGTATGCTGTGTGTATGTATGCTGTGTGTATGTATGCGTAGCTAAAATTGCTTCTTTCTTCCACGAACGCTACTTGGTTGTCTTCGCGTGCTTTAAAGACTTTGCAAAAAAGACTTTGCAAAAAAATGTCATCGTTAAATACGGTTATCTTGCAGGATCTTGGAAGAATCTTGCAAGTCTTTTAAAGAGATGCATCCTCTTTAAAAGAATCTTGCAAGATTTTAGAAAGATCCTGCAAGATAACTTCCCTTGATCGACTAGGGATGCCAATCGTTCGTCAATTTTATGTAAAAAAATAAATACCTTGTTCTGATGTTGGAGTGATGCGAGTTAGCTGGCCCATTCCAAGAGACAAGTCGAAAGCCAGCAGAGATTTGTGACCTTGTAAAAAACATTCTAGAGCATTCTCGGAGAGACACAATTTCATTGCTGACAAATGGCCCTTCTTTTTTGACGTTTTGGAATTTTTGCTCACCGAATTACATAGAATTTGATCTGATTCCATTTTGTTGAACCACGTTTGAGTGTTTGCTTTTTCATAATGGGAATCTTCTAGAATATTGGAATTTTCGGAAACTGTGACGAATGCAATCGCTGAGTGTATATACTGTTGTGTTGTAGCTGTAGACCGATTGTGTAATTGTTTATTTCCATTCGCTGGTATGTCTTGATAAGTGGCAGTCGAGCCCGATGATTTGCTACTCATCGTAAATTACCACGGCCCAGTTTTCAGTTTTCAGCGGTCTCGACTAAATTCCAAAAAAAGGGGAATTTACATTATCTCAGATTTTAAAAATCACAGATCGATAAATAAATTTCAAAACCTAAAGCTGACGAAGATTTAAAATAAATGAATAACGAGCTGATTTGATGGAAAAAACCTTTTTCTTTCTTAGTTTTCTTCCGATTTTTGAAAATAAAATTAAATTGATTGGATGAAATTTTCAAAAAATGTTCCAAACTGACCAATAAGAGAATCAAATTTTGCAACCATATTCAAATCTGTAGGGGTTAAAAAGATAAAATATAAATACCGATGAACTGGTTTGTGGTGAAAATACGGCAATTGCTAATGGAGCAGAAAAGAGCATCAGTATCAATGCCTTCAAAGTACCCGACTTTGACCTCATATGCAAAGTAGGCCCCCGGGTTAAAGGACCAAATATCAGTTCATAGTTTAATCCATAGTGATCGATTTTTACAAGGCGGCAATGTTAAATAACGACACTGCGTGTATCAGGGTAAAACCTGAAATGTTCTGTCTGGTTTTAACGTGTCCGCAGGTCTGGCGTTGCCTTTGCATCAGTTCTGGAACATTAAGTGGAAGTTAGAGTCGAGATAAAATGTGATTATTTTACCGCTTTTTTATCGTGACTTCTGAATCGATTGAGATCTCTTGAGAGAAATTAACAGCAGTGCGAACAAGGCAGAAGTTTAACTCCAATTTGCCGGAAAAAAACGCTACAGAAATAGCAGAAAGTTGAAAAACTCGGGATGTCACAAAACTTACAAATTGTTTCAGTGTTTCGAAATACAATTTTTTAAAACTTTTTTGTGATCTTGTGGGTTAGTGGTACAATCTTTCTCTCTGCCTGAAAAACTTGGTCCGAATATCCAGCTAAATAAAAAGTATGCAAATTCAGAAATTAGTGGTTATAAAACCGTTCGCTAGTTTCTCGTAAAAATAGTTAACAACCTGAAAAGCTTTTTTCGCTTTTTTTTCCCTTTTTTGTCGCTGAGTTAATATGGCACTTGCAAAGTAAATTTACAGTACTGTTTTTCTTCTGTTGCATTACTGGAACAGTACTGATGTTCACAGAAAGATCCATTCGGTTTTTTAATTAAGCTATTAATCAGCTTGAAGTTTTTGTCAAAACTTTTTTTTCCAAAAAAACAACAGTAAATTTATCATTCGACAAACGATTAAAAAATAGTTAAGAAAAAAAATAAAATATTTTTAGAATATACAGTGGCATATACCGTTCTGTTGGAGTTAATCAAATATGGGAAGAAATATTTGTTCCGAATTTCGAAGAAAGCACGGAATATTTTTGCTTGGGATTGTTTATTGTATTCAGTGATTTTTCTACTTTTTAACGAAGCGTTTTGACAAAAATTTTTTTTGTGACGATATGAAAGATATCGCTGTCCTGAGCTCAAATTTAAAAAGAATAGTCACATCGATGAAAAAAAAATTAAAACATTTTTTTCGGCTCAAAAAAATTTAAAACCGCCCCTGAATCAAGTCGTGGCAACATTTGAATTCATTAAAAGCCATCTGTAAAGGTTTTTAGCCTCGTCATAACCTCAAGCCTAGATTGTTTGAGATGTCGAGATGAGAAAATTGTACGATTCAATCTCGGCTTGCGTAGTCTTCGTCTGGAGAATAAGACGAATACATTTAACAACATTCTAGTCTCACTCAAAACTTAGTTAATAACAGCGCGGAAAAATTTTGTTGGAAAATTGATCTACTTCTTTTACATCTTATGAAAGTAATTTTATTTTACGTTGAAGTTTTTTAATCAAAAATCGATTATTTTTTATTTTTGACTTGTTTATCCAGACAGAATTTGATAGCAATAATTTATGTTCCTTTCAATGGTTCTGAGAAACGAGCAAAAAAAACGGAAACGGTAAGTTTAAAAAAGCCTAGCAGTTCTAACTGAACTTGAGAAAAAAAAATTGGCTCCATTATTTACTTTGGAGTGCGAAAACGCACTTAGGTCAAGATAAAAAGGTATTAGCAAAATTAGCATAAGAAGAAGTTTTAAAACCTTTCCAAATATCGAAGGGTCCATTTTATGGCGTTTGAAAGGTGTCTGGTTTATAAACATCAGCGTTAACAGCTCCTTGAGCTCTCAATGGGAAACAAAGGCTTAATTCACTGGCCTTCAGTTATAAAATGAGGAATTTAAGGGCAATAAAAGAGAATTTAATCTAAATTAGTGCATTTGGCTAACTTTTGAAGATCCTTCAGCAATACAACAAGAGAACAAAAGATATAGCAGTTTACCGTCATTAATTTAGTCACTGGAAAGCGAGTTCTTTGGTTAAAATATAATCATGGTTCTAGACATTAATCTGGACTGGGTAAGCTTAACAACTTTGGCCAATTTAATTTTTACCCATAAATAATACATGTATAACGAAGTTGCGACCGAACATTTGAAAAGATTTTAACGGAACTTTAAGAATGGAAACCTAGCGATTACAGATGCAGTTCTAGACCGCTTTCCAGATGCTTTGCGAGCCAAGGGTATTTCCAAAACTTTTCTTCATTTCTAAGTACAAATTAATTTGGTTTCCGTAAAAAAGAGTGCAAAAATGTAGTAGCACCAAAAAAGTTTTTGATGTTTGCTGGTTGTTTTTATAAAAAATTTCAACAATTTTGCTTGAGCTTCTGGATCAAATTTTTATAAGTCGACGCTTAAAGAATAGTTTAAGCAATACAAAAATAACAGCAAAAGACTGAGGTGAGGGCAATGATGGGTACAAAACTCTCAGGAATCGCCACTAAACCCGATTCTCACTGCTGAAAAGTTGCAAACTTCGAAAAAAAAGAGAACTATTTGAACACAATTAGAACAAGACTGCGCGTATAAGGGCAAAGCCCTGAATGTTTCGACTGCCTTTTAAGGTTTATGGAGCAGTAATAACCTTCAAAAATTAAATGTAATAAAATAAAAATAATTTTCTTTTCTAAATTTTGAAACTCTTTATGAAAATCATCCCCCCACACGCCATATAAAATTTAAAAAGATAGATTTTGCTCCTTTCAACAAATCAATTATGGCAAACAACCTTCCTTCAACCAATTTGGAACGATTTCTAAGACGGATTAAATCTCCGCGTACGCGTTAAAAGCGCGAAATATATCGAGCGTTAATTGTCCCAAATTGTTCAAAATGGCAATCTTTAAACCCCCATAGCTTACGAAAAAAGATCACAGGTCAAATGTTTTTTCAAATTTAAGCTCAGGACAACAATACCTTTTGAGTGATATGAAAATTTAGTCAAAAATGGCTAGTTAAAAAGTCGAAACTTGTCTGAAGAAAAAAACCCACCCCGAGCACAAATATTTTGTTACTTTCGTACCGAAAGTCGGAACAACAAGACTGCTCGTATCAGGGCGAAGCCCTGAATGTTCCGACTGCCTTTAAGGGTTTATGGAGCAGTAGTAACATAAAAAATTAAATGTAATAAAATAAAATGTAAAAAAAATCTAAAATTTTAACTTTTTTTTGAAATCATCCCCCCAGACGCCATTTAAAGAAAAAAGTGATAAAATTCGCTCCTAGTAACGCATCAATTATGGCAAATATCCTTCGTTCAACAAATTGGGAATGATTTTTAAGACGGATTAGATCTCTGCTTAGGCGTTAAAAGCGCGAAATATATCGAGCGTTAATTGTCCCAAATTCTCCAAAATGGCAATCTTTAAACCCCCATAGCTTACGAAAAAAGATCACAGGTCAAATGTTTTTTCAAATTTAAGCTCAGGACAACAATACCTTTTGAGTGATATGAAAATTTAGTCAAAAATGGCTAGTTAAAAAGTCGAAACTTGTCTGAAGAAAAAAACCCACCCCGAGCACAAATATTTTGTTACTTTCGTACCGAAAGTCGGAACAACAAAACTGCTCGTATCAGGGCGAAGCCCTGAATGTTCCGACTGCCTTTAAGGGTTTATGGAGCAGTAGTAACATAAAAAATTAAATGTAATAAAATAAAATGTAAAAAAAAATCTAAAATTTTAACTTTTTTTTGAAATCATCCCCCCAGACGCCATTTAAAGAAAAAAGTGATAAAATTCGCTCCTAGTAACGCATCAATTATGGCAAATATCCTTCGTTTAACAAATTGGGAATGATTTTTAAGACGGATTAGATCTCTGCTTAGGCGTTAAAAGCGCGAAATATATCGAGCGTTAATTGTCCCAAATTCTCCAAAATGGCAATCTTTAAACCCCCATAGCTTACGAAAAAAGATCACAGGTCAAATGTTTTTTCAAATTTAAGCTCAGGACAACAATACCTTTTGAGTGATATAAAAATTTAGTCAAAAATGGCTAGTTAAAAAGTCGAAACTTGTCTGAAGAAAAAAACCCACCCCGAGCACAAATATTTTGTTACTTTCGTACCGAAAGTCGGAACAACAAGACTGCTCGTATCAGGGCGAAGCCCTGAATGTTCCGACTGCCTTTAAGGGTTTATGGAGCAGTAGTAACATAATAAATTAAATGTAATAAAATAAAATGTAAAAAAAAATCTAAAATTTTAACTTTTTTTTGAAATCATCCCCCCAGACGCCATTTAAAGAAAAAAGTGATAAAATTCGCTCCTAGTAACGCATCAATTATGGCAAATATCCTTCGTTCAACAAATTGGGAATGATTTTTAAGACGGATTAGATCTCTGCTTAGGCGTTAATAGCGCGAAATATATCGCGCGTTAATTGTCCCAAATTGGCCAAAATGGCAATATTTAAACCCCCATAACTTTACGAAAAATGATCATAGCTGAAATATCTTTTCAAAGTTAAGCTCAAGATATTTTGAATGATATCAAAACATTCCGTCAAAAATGGCTAGTTAAAAAATCGAAATTTGTCTGAAGAAACAAAAACCCATCCCGAGCACAAATATTCCGTTACTTTCGTATCGAAAGTCAGAACAGAAACTTAATTTTTGCAATGAATTATCAAGCGCCAAATTGATATCCTCTTTGGCCTTCGCATCTTATGGTTT